TGTCATCTACGTCTCCACCCCAATCGCTATCGCTATATCCAAAAAGCTTGTAATCGTCAGAAATAGAGTAGTACAAGCCAAAGTTAATTGTACCTTTGATATAGCGTAGGATCCTTTTTGCTGCCTTGAAATGAGTTGTTGTTGGATGCTCCATGTATCGACTCACAACTCCAACTGCATGAAGTATGTCGGGCCTTGTGCAAGTTAGATAACGTAGACTTCCAACTAGGCTCTTAAATAGTGTTGGATCAACACTCTCTCCTTCTTCTTCCTTTGACAACTTGACTCCACATTCCATTGGCGTGCTAACTGGATTTGAGTCATCCATCTTGAACTTCTTAAGCACCTCTTTAGCATAACCTTCTTGAGTAATGAAGATTCCTTTTTCTTCTTGCCTCACTTCGATGCCAAGATAATGTGACATCAATCCAATGTCAGTCATCTCGAACTCCTTTGTCATCTCCTTCTTGAAATCTTCAAACATAATCAGATTGTTGCCGGTAAATATCAAGTCATCCACATACAAGCATGCAATCAATATATCATTATTTTTAGTTTTGATATAAAGTGCATGCTCATATGGACACTTGATGAAACCCTTCTCCTTGAAATACTTATCAATCCGAGTGTTCCATGCTCTAGGTGCTTGCTTCAAACCATAAAGTGCCTTCTTCAGCCTCAAGACTTTGTCTTCTTCTCCTTTGACTATGTAACCTTGTGGTTGCTCAATGTAGACTTCTTCCTCAAGGTCTCCATTTAAGAAGGCTGATTTTACATCCATTTGATGTATCTTCCAACTCTTTTGAGCTGCCAATGAAATGATTAGTCTAACCGTTTCTAAGCGAGCAACATGAGAAAATACCTCATCATAGTCGATCACAGCTCTTTGACTATAGCCTTTTGCCACCAATCTTGCCTTGTACCTTTCAACTTCTCCTTTAGAATTCTTCTTGGCTTTGTACACCCACTTCACACCGATTGCTTTATGCCCACTTGGAAGTGAAGCTAACTCCCATGTATTATTCTTTTGAATCGACTTGATTTCTTCATCCATTGCATTTCTCCATGAATTCTTTTCTTGAGCTTCTTCAAAGTTCATGGGCTCACAATCCGCAAATAGACAAAATAGAGTGAGATTGTCTTGATTTTCGGTTACCTCATAGATGTCTTGTAGACTTCTTAAACGTGGAGTCCTTTCACTTGAGCTTTCATCTCCTTGAGAACTTGTTGTTGGTGAAGTTGGTGGTGTAGCTGGCTCTTCTCTTGGTTGCTCAAAATTCTCTTCTTTAAAAGACGGAAAGAAGTTGTAGTCTTCATCATTTGATCTCCAATCCCATTCTCCTTCTTCATCAAAGATGACATTCCGACTAATGATTGTCTTCTTTGTTTCAGGATTGTAGAGCTTGTAGCCTTTGAAGTTAGTGTCATACCCAATGAAGATGTACTTCTCACTTTTATCATCTAGTTTGCTCCGCTTCTCGTCTGGAACATGAGCGTGAGAAATGCTTCCAAAGACTCTTAGGTGTGAGACTCCGGGCTTCCTTCCACTCCAAGCTTCTTGTGGTGTCTTTTCTAAAACACTCTTTGTTGGAGATCGGTTTGATATATAAACCGCACACGCCACTGCTTCTGCCCACAACTCCTTTGGTAGCTTCTTACTTTTGAGCATGCTTCTTGCCATCTCAAGTATTGTCCTATTCTTTCTTTCCGCTACTCCATTTTGTTGAGGGGTTCTTGGCACCGTCAACTGTCTTCGAATGCCATTATCTTCACAATATTTCAGAAACTCCTTGGACATAAATTCTCCTCCTCGATCAGATCTCATGGACTTGATCTTAAGACCACTTTCCTTCTCAACATGGGCTTTAAACTTTTTGAAATTTTCAAACACTTCTGATTTTTGTTTCAAAAAATAAACCCATGTTTTTCTTGAATAGTCATCAATAAAGAGAAGGAAGTAGTTACTCTTACCAAGTGAACTTGGTTTGATCGGACCACATACATCTGTATGTATGAGTTCTAGTGGCTTTCTTGCTCTTGTCTCTGACTCCTTTGGAAAACTCATCTTGAATTGCTTTCCAAGTAAACACCCTTCACACACTTGATTTGGATGGTTGATGCAAGGTAGTCCTTTCACCATCTCTTTCTTGGAAAGTAGCTCTAAGCCTCCAAAGTTGAGATGCCCAAATCGAAGATGCCAAAGCCATGATTCTTCCTTGTAGCACATCTTGAGACATCGCGCAATGTCATTTTGAATGTTTAGGACAAACATTCTATTGCTTGACATTGGCACCTTTGTGATGAGCTTGTTTGATTTATCTCTTAAAGAAAGGCTATTATCTTTTAGTCGAATGTCATAACCTTTCTCCAGGAGTTGTCCAAGGCTCAAGATGTTGGTCTTCATGCTTGGAATGTAGTAAACATTGGAAATGAATTGATGATCTCCATTCTTCAAGCGGATGAGAATATTTCCCTTACCTTTGACTTCCATCTTCGATTCATCTCCCAAAGCCACATTTGTTTTCACCGATTCATCAAGCTCCACAAACATACTTCTCTTCCCACACATGTGATTGCTTGCACCACTATCAAGGTACCACTTGTGCACTTCATTTGGTTCATCCTTCTTGTAAGACATCAATAGCATATCTTCTTCTTTACTCCTTTCTTCAACATAATTTGATTTTTCTTCAACTCTATTATTGTTTGGAGCTTTGCATTCAGAGGCATAATGTCCAAACTTTCCACAACTATAGCATTTGATGCTGGATTTATCGTACCTTGATTTTGCATTTCCTCTTCCACGACCTCGTGATGAGCTCTCTCCTCTTTGGTTAGAGTTGTCTTCATATGATCTCCAACCTCGTCCATTTACACCACGACCTCGTCCTCGGAAATGACCGCCACCACGTCTTGGATTGCTCCGGCCACTTTCTTCCTTGTGATCAATTCTCATCTTGAGAACTTGCTCAACAATATCTTCTTTTTTCTTCTTCTTTTCTTCATAAGCTTGTAGTTATCCAAGAAGTTGCTCCATCGTCATAGTCTCCAAATCTTTTGTCTCTTCAATCACGGTAACAATGTGCTCGAGTTTTGAATCCAATGATCGAAGAACTTTCTCCATGATTCTCACCTCATCTAACTTCTCACCATTTCTCTTTAGGTTATTAGTAACCGTCAAGACTCTTGAGAAGTAATCTGAGATGAGTTCTCCTTCCTTCATTTGTAGTGCTTCAAATTCTCCTCTTAGAGTTTGAAGACGTACCTTCTTAACTTGTTCTGCTCCCTTGTAAGAGGTCCGAAGCTTCTCCCATGCTTCTTTGGACGTCTTTTCTTCAGCAACCTTCTCAAATGTGTCTTCATCTAATCCTTGATAGATTAGACAAAGATCTTTCTTGTCTCTCTTCCTTGAATCTCTCAAACCATCCCTTTGAGTTTGAGATAAACCCTCATCATTCTCCGGTTCAATGAAGCCTTTCTCTACTATCTCCCACACATCATGTGCTCCTAAGATAGCCATCATCCTAAGGCTCCAATTGTCACAGTTGCTCTTTGTGAGCAATGGAATTTGCAAGGGAACACCATTAGTTGCCATCCTTGGCTCTGATACCACTTTGTTGGAATGAAAAACTTTATAGAGATGGAGAAAGTGTTTTTATGTGTTTGAAGAGAAAGATGTTTTATGAAGAAGAAAGTCTTTTATAATTTAGAAGAGGAATTCTTATTACTTAGATGATTTCTTGATGATACAAAATGAGAGGGGAGTGGAGGTATTTATAGCCTCCAAAGTACAAAATATCTCAAATATTTTAATCCTAAATCTAGAGAATTCTTACTAAATATCTAGATTATTTTATCTAAATATCTAGATTGTTCTTTAACAATATCTAGATTTTTTATGTTAAGGAGGTGGAGATTATTCTAGATATTGGGCTAAGTTTGGGCTAAACATGATTATTAGCCCAATAATACTTGATCCAAATCAAGTTTACTTTTCAACAGAAGAGTTTTGGAAACAACGCAGCCGTCTCTTGTGGCTGAAACTCGGAGACCGAAACACAGGATTCTTTCACGCTACTGCAAAGGATAGAAAGCGGCTAATTCTTTCTCTGTAATTGAAGGGGAGGACGGGATTATACACCACAAGGAGGAGGAAATAGTCCAAGTAATTGATGCCTACTTTCAGAAGCTCTTCTCCTCAAGCCCAGGGGAAAGGTCTGATACGGTTCATCAAGCTCTTAAGCCGCTAGTTTCTGAGGAGGAGAATTCTATGCTTACTGCCATCCCGTCGGCCGAGGAAATTAGGGACGCTGCTTTCTCTATTAACGCCGAAAAGGCACCAGGCCCGGACGGATTCTCTGCGGGTTTCTACCATACACATTGGGCAGATATTGGTCCAGATGTAGTTAAGGAGGTGCAGGGTTTTTTCAGTGGCCAGCCACTTCCGGCCAGTATTAATGATACTCACCTCCGACTTATCCCAAAGATCACAAACCCTCAAAAGGTCTCGGATTACCGCCCTATCGCCCTCTGTAATGTGTACTATAAGATTTACGCTAAACTCATTACAAGACGACTGCAACCGCTGATGGATAAACTCATTTCTGAGAACCAGTCAGCGTTTGTGCCGGGCCGGGCAATTGGAGATAATGTACTGATTACTCATGAGGTGCTGCATTACCTGAAAACTTCTAAGGCGGAGCAGCGGTGTGCGATGGCCGTCAAAACCGACATGAGCAAAGCGTATGATCGTTTAGAGTGGGAATTTATTTCGCTCGTCCTACTTCGGTTGGGTTTCCAACAAAACATTGTCGACTGCATTATGCAATGTATCTCGTCTGTTACCTACTCCTTCCTCATTAACGGCTTGCCTAGAGGGAAGGTAATACCGAGTAGAGGAATCCGTCAAGGAGACCCTCTTTCTCCCTACATATTCATAATGTGTAGCGAGGTCCTCTCGGGATTATGTAACAGGGCGCAAGAGGACGGCTCCCTTCAAGGGCTACGGGTGGCAAGGGCGAGTCCTCGCATCAACCATCTCCTCTTCGCGGACGATACAATGTTTTTCCTTGATGCTAACAGAGGAAATTGTGCAGCCTTGCGGGGTATTTTGAGCAAGTATGAGGCTGCATCGGGACAATCAATTAACGAGCTTAAATCTGCGATCACTTTTTCGCGTAAAACCCCAGCAGCTGTGAAATCAATTATTAAAGGGGAGTTGAATATTCAAAAGGAAGGAGGAACAGGAAAATATTTAGGACTACCGGAGTCATTTGGAAGAAGGAAGCGCGACATGTTCTCCTCTATTGTCGATAGGATTAAGCAAAAGGCCCGCAGTTGGTCAACAAAACTCCTATCTCCAGCCGGGAAGTTAGTCATGATTCAAAGCGTTCTCTCGGCTGTTCCGTCCTATTCCATGTCCTATTTTGCACTCCCGGTATCTCTTTGTGATAGAATTCAGTCCGCTGTCACGAGATTTTGGTGGGATAATAATGAGATCTCAAGGAAGATGGCGTGGGTATCTTGGTCATCTATGGCAAAACCTAAAGCTATAGGCGGGCTGGGGGTGCGAGATTTTCAAACCTTTAATGTCGCGCTTCTTGCAAAAACGAGTTGGAGGCTCCTGCAGAAGCCAGACTGCCTACTCAACAGAGTTTTAAAAGGCAAATATTACCCTGACAGCAATATTCTTCTCGCCGGTGAAGCATCTAGCATGTCCCATGGATGGAGAAGTGCTTTATTGGGTCGTGACCTCCTTGTTAAAAATCTGGGATGGCTGGTGGGAAATGGACAATCTATCCAGGTCTGGCATGATTCTTGGCTGAGTACTACTGCTCCGGAGAGACCAATGGGCCCCCCAAATGAAACCTCCATGCTCCTTAAAGTATCAGACCTGATGCTTCCTGAATCTTGTGAGCGGGATGAGACCAAAATCCAGCTCCTTGTTCCTGATTTTGAAGATAAAATCAGAGCTATTAAACCCAGTCAAACCGGGGCTCCGGACAAACTCATCTGGCTAGGAACAAAGACAGGGGAGTATTCTACGAAGTCTGGTTATTTTTCAGTTGTCAACACGGAAGGTCAAGATGCTCCTGGGATAATCGGAGAAGGTTTTAACTGGAAGAAAAATGTGTGGGGTCTTAACTGTGCCCCAAAGATAAAGACGTTTGCGTGGAAGCTACTCAAGGGTGCCCTCCCGGTAGGCGAACGCCTGGTTGAACGTCACGTTCATGTTGATGCGAAGTGCAAAAGATGCGGAGACCCTGAATCTATCAATCATCTCTTCTTCCATTGTCAATATGCACGGAAGGTGTGGAACCTTGCACCTTTCTCTGCGGACTTGGATTTTAGCGGATTGATAGATTTAGAGCAACAGTGGCCTTTAATCTGCTCAATGCAATGCTTACCGCCGTCGGGTGTTATCTCTAAGACGCTGGGCATTTGGATCCGCTGGAACTTATGGAAGGCACGTAATAAGTTTGTATTTGAAGGTTTTGCTGGCTCCCCCGAAGATACGTTATCTATGGCAATAACTTTTGCAAGAGAATGGGAATCAAATGATGGACTAAGCGACCACCCAAAACCAAAAAGTGTTAATCCTCCACGGCAGTGGCCTCAAGGAGCGACAGTTGTGTGCTCTGATGGCGCTTGGAACCCGTTGGGATCGGCGGCGGGTTTGGGCTGGGTTATCCAGTCACCGTCTGGAGCCTCCCTCTTCCATAAACGCGTCCCAGATGTGATTTCTGCACTCATGGCAGAAGGATTAGCTTTGCTAGAGGCAATAAAAACTGGGGCTCGTGAACAACTGAGGTCGGTAGTATTTGAATCTGACTCTTCCACTCTGATCAAGGCCCTCAACACGGGAACCTGCTTGCCTGAGCTTTACGGAATTACGGCTGATATCCTATCCTTCGTATCTGTTTTCGATTCGGTTGTCTTTGCTTGGATTTCTCGTGAGAGAAATTCTCAAGCTGATTCCTTAGCAAAGTTTGCTTTGAATGTTGTTGACATTGATGTAGTTGATGAAGCATTTATGGCTTCCAACTAACTGTTTCCATGGTATTAATTAAGTTGAGTTTCAAAAAAAAAACAAAGGTAAAAATGAAAAGTGGTACAATGAATATGATAAAATTGAAATTTTCCCAAGGTTTTTCACAATCAGCCATTTCTCCAAGCATTCAGCAAGATACTCATGTCCACAATCCAAAGTAGCAATCTTTTTTTCATCCTTGAGTTTTCCTGCAAAAAAAAAACAAATTAAGGCATCTCTTAAAACTCAATCATGTGCAGTCTTTAAAAGCTTCATCTTTGGCTATATTTTGTTACCTGGCATATGGTGCAATGTTCAGTTTTCGGTTTAGTTTGCGGAGGCGAGTGTGATTCTTCTGCAAGGTTGATTACAAAACATGTTCTTGTTTTCATATGGCTCTTGACATCTTCCTCTGTCAAACCAGTGTTACAGTTCCAATCCGCTCACTCAACACAAGAAGCTCCTGTTCAGACCAATGTGTTATCAAATCAGTTTCAACAAAAAAACATAAACGTGATCATAGAAAACTACATTGCGAGATTCACAAACTAATTCTGAAGACAGGCAACTTGCAGCTGCTAAATACATAACTATGATAACAACATGGTAAAGAGTAATGAATGGCTCACCTCGTAAGACATTTCCTCAATGTGCAAACGCATATCTCGATGATGATGATCTCAAATCGTGGAGGAGTAGATTCCCATGAATTCACTCTGCTGTTTAACGACTCTTTCTTCCTCTGTCAGATATGAGTTGGCAGATTCATGACCTTCTTTAGATTTGGAAATTATAGCAGTAACAGCTCTCTTAGCCTTCATCTGAATGAAGAATAAAGCATCCAACATCCAAGCAAGTTGACCAACAAAATAAATCAATTATGAGAGTAGATGAAGTATATTTCTTGAACTTACACTGAGTAGCAAACTTAATTTCTTTTGCGTCCTGACCTTCTTTATTCTCGGGCTCGGCTTTTTGGTTTTCCCCCTTCTATCCCATTCGAGCAAAGCACACTAACTCAATTAAGAAAAATCACGTTCTTTAACCAACCAAGAAAAAAAAGAAAAAGGAGATTTAGCTTTCTCCTCATCTTCCCGAAGTTTGAGCAGCTGCTCTTCTTCCTGAGTCATAGCCTGAGAAATAAGAGACGATCTTCCACTATTGGCTAAAAGTATCTCTTTTTCTGGAAGAGTCTCCTAACAGTTAGTGAAAATTAATACCCATTTACATAGGAAAAAAAAATCGAAGAAAACGCCGAAACTCTTACCAATCCGGAAAAGGTGAAACCCGGCACAAACCTCTTCACTGAGAAGAGAAGTCGTTGAGTCAGCAGAAACATCTTTCTCGGTTTTCTGGTCGCTGGCCATTACAGAAGCCTTAAGAATCGAAAATAAAAAACGAAAAAAATCAGAGATTTAGATCATTGGCTTTTTACAAAATCGAAGAACTGGGCAGATATACCAAGTCGAGAGCGATTTCGCGAGAACAGCATCGGAGGAAGCCATCTTCAAGAATATTTCTACACTTTATAAAAAGATAAACTGACTTCTGAATCAATCATGCTTTCAACCAGCTGATATATATAAATTCCAAGTGAAGGAAACGGAAGAGGCACCATCGTGACTGGGTTTTATGAGAATTATTCTCGAATTAAAAGAAAGACATTGAATCACAGGGGAGGTGAAGAGAAAACGACAAGGAAGGTTAAGCGAAAAAGAAAGACATTGAATCGCAGGGGAGGTGAAGAGAAAACGACAGAGAAGGTTAGCGATTGAGAAGAGCAACATGAATTTTCCAGATCTACAATCCGATTCGGACAAACTAAACCAGGCCAAAATACAAACATATCGATGAAAACCGGAAATTAAATGAGCCCACAGTATTTATGAAATGCACACGTGGACAGCTTTAGGAAAGGCAAAAGTGCCTCATTATTATTTATGAAGTAATTTTTTTTTTTTTTTGCAACGAAAGACTGATCTATTAATCAGGGTTGAGGTGGTCTGGATAACCAGACCGGAATAGAACAACCAACATAAAAAAGCTTACGATAAAAGGATCTAGACGTCTAAGCTAAAGAATCAGAAAATCTGTTATGTAAAAATCAGGGAAGCAAATCCTCAGTGTTAAGAGTTTTTCCAGTTCCGTAGAGAAGCTAGGCCATTCGTGGGGGTTCCTAAGCATCGCGATCATCTCCTTGCAATCAGTTCCAAAGCTCTGACATGGCGAACGTTGAAGCATATTCTCCATTGTCCACCACAGTGTCTCCAACTCTGAATGCAAGGCAGACTCTACTCTATCAAAATTGTGCAATCCCATTAACTGGCTATTTCCGGAACTATCATTCCAAACCCAACCGCACCCACTGAATTGATCTGTAGAAGTCCAAGATCCATCCACCATGCATATATTACCCAGATTTATGGCCTGGTTTTCCTCAACTTTGTTCCCTGGGGATGACGATATATCCTGCTCGTTTGCTTGAAACCAGGCTTGACAATCACTTTCTGCATAACGGGCTAACTCCAAAGGGTCTATATCAATACCTCTGAACAGCTTATCATTCCGAGCCTTCCAGATGTACCAAATTAGCCAGGGATAAGGATCCCTATCCAATTCCGGTTCCATTATAGATTTTTTCCTCCAGAAAAGGTATTCCATGTTCGCGTATGTGCTCTGGAGTGGAAACAAAGAAGAACTGGTAGGCGTGGATGATAGAGCCCAAACTTGCACTACATGTGGACTTTCGAAGATAGCATGTGTAATCGTTTCTTCAGGTTCCCCACATCGTAGACAGTGGTTATCACATCTCATATGCCTGTATTTTAGAATGCTCGTAACAGCCACATGACCTGTTATTAATTGCCACATAAGATGACATATCTTTTGGGGTGCCTTAACCTTCCAAGCATGTGCTTGAAGCTTTGTGATGCGTTCACATACAACAGGATCCTCTTCCCTCATTAAAATATTTCTTGCTACCCAGTATCCAGATTTAACTGTATATTGTCCATTCCTTGTATAGCTCCAGCAGTACGTATCACGGCAATGCGTGGAGCTACTGGTCATACTCTTAATGAGTGGTATATCAGCAGCAACTACATAATTTGCAAGCGGCCCTCATCCCAAGTTTTTGTTGCTTGGTTAATCAAATCGCTCACTCTCATGTTCGGATTCAAAACCGGTGCCGATGAGGTTGTTGGTCTAGCTGGGATAGTAGGGATCCAAGGATCCTCCCAGACTTTCACCTCATACACCGAGTGAACCTTTTTTCTAATTCCCAACAAAAGTAATTCTCGTCATGCCGATATGCTTGTCCACACATATGATGGGCTACTGACAGGGAGTTGACGCAAAGGCGAACTCAATCTGTAGTACCTGCCTCTCAAAACACGAGCTACCAGGGAATCTAGATATTGAGCTAATCTCCATAATTTATTTGCTAGTAGCGCCAGGTTGAACTCATGTATCATTCTAAAGCCAATACATCCTTCCTCTCTGGATAAACATAGCTTATCCCATGTTGTCCAATGTATACCCCTTACTGGAGGGTTTGAACTCCACCAGAAATGCCCGATGGCACTAGCTAAATTCTTACAAATCTCCAAAAGAAGAAGAAAGCATGACATTACATAAGTTGGGAGAGCTAGCAGTATAGATTTTATCATAACTTCTTTGCCACCTTTTGAAAGCCACCGTCCATTCCATTTATTTACTCTATTCCTTAGCTTGTCCTTAAGGAAAGCAAAGAGCTTACATTTTGATCCACTAATATCCTTTGGGATTCCTAAGTATGTCCCCATTCCTCCTTCATTTTGGATCCCAAGTATGTCTTTGATCTTTTGTCTTACAACCTGACCGATTCTTTTACCAAAGAGTAAAGAAGACTTATCAAAGTTAATACATTGTCCTGAAACTTGTCCATATAAAGTAAGAAAAAGAAGAAGTAAGTATAAATAATATTTGTAATTATATAAGGTACGAAAAAGAAGAAGTAATTATATATGGTTAATTCTATGGTTTCATTGTATATATAATATCTATTGAAAGAAATCTAAGTGAATATGTATTTAGTGAAAGCTAAAAAAAATAGGTCTTGCCATGGAAAGAAGTTCACATAAGCTTTAGGTAATTATCTATTTATTATAGAAAGCTCAAGAAAAAAATGATCTACATATTTGGCTGTAGAAAGCATTTCTACAAGTGTCGTTTACATATTGGGACACAATATGACTTTGTCTTTCATCTAGAGACACATACACAAGTTGGGGCACTTTTTTTTGGCAGCTTCTGTGTGTTAATGTCATTGATGTCCTTTGGGTGAACTTGGGAAAAAAGGAAACCAGTTGTGGTATTTATTTCCTTGAAAACACTAATTTTTTAAACCTATGGATATACAAGGTCACCATTCAATATGAAATTGAAACTTAAGATCCATCCACAGAATAAACAAACATAATCCATTCACAAGAACCTTATTATGTACCACTGGACTTAAAATCCATCCACAAAACGAACAAACATAAAATCAATCCAGCCATAATGTATCATACAATCAATCGAGCCATAAAATCAAACGAACGAACAACCCCCAGCCATACTCCCTCCCCTCCACGCTTCACCCATCCACAACCCCCTCCACGCCTCACCCATCCACAACCCCCTCCATGCTTCACCCATCCACAATTGTTTTTGTACACAAGCGGGAACTGAACACAAGGAACAAACCGAAACATATATAGGGACTGAAATAATGAACAAATCAGGAACTGAAATACATTAACAAAAGTCTGAGACAAACCATAAATTTCCTCCAATCAAAAAACGACGAGAGATAAACACCACAACCTGCCGTCATCATCTTCTACACCACGCACTCAGACTTGCTTGCCGTCTTCCTCTCCACCTGATAATAGTAAAATCAAACAAGTTGCGTCTTCTTTGGATTCATGAACTTTTTAAAATTAATGAAGATAAAGAAAAGGAGGCTAACAATTATGGTTTGAGTAAAGGAAAGTGAAGAATCTTTGAAAAGTAAATCTGAAATCGAAAATGAAGATAGAAGATAAAGAAAAGGAGGCTAACAATAATATTTGTATTTTTAATTGTTTTTTATTTTTGTCTAATTCTGTGGACAATATCGTTTAGTTGAGATTAGTTAATAAAATTTAGAAATGTATATTCGTGATTTAGTTGAGGGTAGAAAGGACAAATTGTATAGAGAAAGTGTGTGACATGTGGAAAGTGTTTTGAAGTGTAATTGTAAAGTGAGAATGTGTCCAAATCACAAACTAATAACAGCCCCTAATATAGAGTTATTAACACTCAGAGGCAGTTTTGATGTTTTATTACAAGAAAATACAGTTTAAACTACTGAGGTACTTTCTTGTAACTAAAACCCAACAATTGCTAACTAAGTAACTCAGATGGTCCCACATTTGACAACTTGTATTATCTCTCCTCTCTTCTTCTTCCTTTTGAGAATCATGCTCAATTTCTTCTTTTTTTCCATGTAACCCAAATCCTTTCTACAAATCATTATTTTTCAGCAACATAATTTCATTTTCTCTTTTATTTTATGTATCATAGGTTTTTTTTTTAAGATATACAAATCCAATAATCTATACAGAAAAGATGTAAAAGAATTTGAAGCCTCCATAAAAAGATTTCTTCAACTCAACATCAAAGCCTCCACGTCTTGTAACCGCCTCTATCTCCGCCTCTGTCGACTGAAACCTCAGCCTCCATCTCGTATGTCTTGTCCCTGGCGATTTGTAACAAAATGTTCAACAAATAAAAAAAAAGAGAGTTTTGTTTGAACTTTTGGATCTAAAACCATGAATTATTAGATCTGGACAAAATACATAAAAACAAGTAAGAAATGTAAAGAATCTTAAAAATAGGTGAAAGAGGCAGAGATTAGGGTATTTGATCGACAGTGGCCAAGGAAGAAGACAAGGGTATTTGTAAATTTTCATTATTAATAAAAAAATAAAAAAAATTCGCTCAGATTGTACATGTGTACACCTAGTTGAGATTGTACATGTTTACACCTAATTGAGTCGTCGTTGAGCAACATCGAAACTCGCTCATATTGTACATATGTACACGCTTGTTTGTGTACACTCTAACAAAGTTTTCCAAGAATACCAAACCTTAAATCAAACAAAATTGAAGAATGAAATTTGTACACAAGTTTTTATCTCATGGATATTCATATGTGTTGTCTCACATGTACAATGTCAATTTTCACCTTTTTGCTCGTGTACACGTGTTTTTCACTGTACACATGTACAATGTTTTATAAAAAAAGCACATATACACTGGTCCATTGTACACTGCGGAAGCATCTGCTTAACCAACCCATAAATGCAACTCTATTTTTTCTCTGTTTGTAATGTGGATACTATTAAGCATAACAAACAAAAACTTGGAAGTTTTGGAGGAAAATAGAAATGACATCTTTACAAATAGAACTATTGGGTCAAAAATAAATTATACAAAA